AATAAGATGAATACGAGAAGAGCTAATGTGTACAGAAGACATAGTCAACAACCATAGAGAGAAACTTTTATTTGTTAATTAAATTATTTTCTTTGGTAGCTCTTTCAATTTACTTGGATTAAAAATATTAGCAATGAAAATTGAATAATAGAGAATTTAATTTTAATGTCCGACCATCCGTTCTTTTTTTGGTTAAGTCTAAGCCCCATGCTGACTTGTGACTCAAAGACACTACTATGTAAATGATTGTGAAATTTATTGGCCCTTAGTTCCATGAAAAATTTAAAAAGTAACTATAATCCATAATTTTATTTTTTTACTTTTATTATTTGATATTCATCTGTTAGGATGCTACAGTTTTATCTGTAGAAAACCAACAAAAATAGGAAGAAAGATGCGAAAATAAAGAGGAAGAAAAGGGCTACCGTGACCTCAATTCATTTGTTTTCATATGATTCTTACAAGAGCATCACATATACATTAATAGTGAAAAGGTATAATTAAAAGGAAAAAAAAAGTTTAGAATCTGTGTGAGGCAGAGATGAAATGAGGTGGTTAGGATTGTACGGTGAAGATGATTCAGAATAAAGTGGTGTGGTATGTTGTGCTGTAGGTATATTGTTATCATCCCCCTGAAGCTAATGGTGGGATTTCAAAGCTTTTGCTTGTCTCTGAGCTTGTAGAGGTGAGGCGTAGGCAGTGCCTTGGTGAAGATGTGGGCAAATTGGTCATTGGTAGGGATGTAATTGAGTGAGAGCTCTTTGGAAATGACGTGTTCTCAGATGAAGTGATAGTCGGTCTCAATATGCTTTGTTTGGTCATGGAAGATGGGATTATGGGTGATAGCCATTGCTGAAGTATTGTCACAATGAATGGTTGTTAGAAGAGATCTGGATATGTGAAGATCTTGCAGTAGCCCGCGTTAACCAGATGACATCGGTGGCAGCGAATGATAGGGCTATGTACTCGGCTTCCGTTGAAGATTGAGCCACTGTAAGTTGTTTCTTGATGTACCTGGAAATCGGATTTGGGCCCAAGAAGGAGCGGTATTCGATTATTGATCGGCGATCAAGGAAGTCACTTGCCTAGCTTTAGTCGAAGTATGTATCCACAATGAGAGGTCCATCTTGGAGTGGAAGACCGAGAGTGAGTACCTTTAATCCAAGGTATTTTATTTGTTAATAGCTCAGCAACAGGGGATCATGAAGAAGCTGAGACTAAGTATTGACTGCAAATTGAATGTCTGGACTTGTGATCGTGAGGTACTGAAGCGATCCCACCATATGACAAAATTGAGCGAAATGTAGAATGGGTTGTTGAAGATTGTTGTTTGTCTTGGAGGAGACCGAATATGGGTTGGGTTGTGATTTACAGTCAAACATATCTGCTCGTTGTCAGTTTGAGATAGTTGAAAACCAGTGGTGGTGTGCTTAATCTGAATCCCAAGAAAGGTGGAAACCGGTCCAAGCAGCTTCATGGAGAATGTGCATTGAAGATTTTGGATGAGATGATTAATAGCACTTAGATTGCTTCTTGTTAAGAGAATATCATCTATATATAGAAGGAGATAAAGTTGACTCGAGTTGGAATTGTAGGTTAGTAGAGAAGAATCCGCATGACATGGTTTGAACACAAAATGGACCAGATGCTTGGAGAATGTTTCAAACCATTGGTGCAGTGCCTGTTGGAGATTGTAGAGAGATTTGAGGAGATGGCACACTTTATGGGGATGATCTCGGTCAATATATCCTAGAGGTTAGCACATGAAGATAGTGTCGTTGAGCTTACCATGAAGAAAGGCATTGGAGACGTCCACCTGAAGTAGTTGCCATTTATGATGAAAAGCTACTGTTATGAAGGTGAGAATGGCTGGAAACTTTGTTGCTGGACTGAGAGTTTCAGTATAGTTTAGAAAATATTCCTGTTGGAATCCTTGATCTATGAGTCATGCCTTGTATCATGTCATGTTGCCATCAGCTTTTCTTTTGATGTGAAATGTCCATTTGCATCCAAGAATCGATTGGTTGGTGGGAGGAGGAACTAGTTTCCAAGTTTGTTGAGGGTAAAAGTGCTGAAATTTCTTCATCCATAGCTTGCTTCCAGTGTGGGGAGGTTGCCCCTTGCTTATAGTTGGAAGGTTCTGTAGGTTCGATGGTATGATGTAGGAGTTCGAAAATGCGTGTAGCAGGAAGGGAGTCTGTTTTAGGTCTTGTGACCATGAGATGTTGTGGGATAATTGGAGTGAGCTGTTTGGATTGTATTTGAAGGGGAGAAGAGGGCTGAGTAGCAGGTAATGCAGGCTGGGAAGCTGAAATTGGTCATGGAAGAGTAATTTTAAGTGGCTTCTGTCGTGGTTTGGAGTTTCAGTTGGATAATGTAGGTTGAGGTGCTGAAGTCGGCTGAGGTAGAGGGGACTTAGTAGTTGCATTGATGGAGTAAAGCTGGTGGTTGGCAAAAGGGTGAGTAGATGTGTGGTTGGGGGTTTGGGTGGTTGTTGTGGGGTAGTAGATTGGTAGTATGGGAAGGATTGTCCGTTAATTATAACATGCCGAGATATAGTGATTTTATCTGTGGTAGGTTGGAAGCACTTTGAGCCCTTGGTAGGTTCAGTATAACCAAGAAAAACATAGGATACCGACCGCGGTTGAAGCTTGTGTCGTTGAGCGGGGTGCAGCCAAGGAAGCACTCCCATCCGAAAATTTTTAGATGGCTGTAATCCGGTGGATTACCATGTAGTAGTTGATATGGTGATAGATAGGATGTGTTTGGTGATGACAACCTGTTCATAAGATAAATGATAGTGACCACTATTTCAAGCCATAAGGAGGGTGGGCGATTCGATTCAGCTAGAAGGGCTCGAGTGGTCTCAAGTTTATGGCGATGTTTGCGTTCGGCAATCCCATTCTATTATGGAGTGTATGGACATGTTATTTGATGAATGATGCCTTTATTAAGTAGGAAATTGCTGAATTGCGAGTTTTTATAATCTCCGTGTTTGTCAGTTTTTAGAGTTTTAATTTTCTTATGGAATTAAAGTTCTACTAGCTGCTTGAATTTGAAAAAGTTAGAGAGAACTTCAGATTTGTGTTACATAGGATAAAGCCATTAAAAGCGAATAGAATCATCAACAAAAAGAACACGATAGTTAAATCCTTGAATAGATGTTGGGGATGGACCCCAATATCTGAATGTATAAGTTCTAGTGAATTACATTAAGTATAGCTAGAAAAAAAAGGTAAGTGATGACATTTAGCAGTGGTACATGCCTTGCAAAAAAGAAAAATGCTAGAAATCAAGAGATGTGATTGTTGTTTTGCTATGGTTGGAAGGATTTGGTGACTAGCATTGATGCCATGAATTTTTATGGGTTGTGGTGGAGACGAAAGCTTGTTGAGCTGCTGGAATTGGGTACAACCCATTGCGGCAAGGGCCTTGAAGGAGTTTCTGCTGCAAGAATCTGTTGAGAAAAATAGGGCGAAGAAAAACAAGAATCAACATAAACCAGAAGAACACAGAGATTTAACGCACAGAGATTTAAGATGCCTACGTCCTCGGGAGCAGAGCGGCGACCTCCTTTTCAATATTCAGAAAAGATTACAGAATACAATATTCAGCTCTCTCTCAAAGACCTAGGATTACAAACAGGTCTATTTATAATCCTAGAATAAACCTTACAGTACAATATGTAATTCCCAAATTACCCCTGTACCGTATAGCGGGGCGTTGACCCAACACCCCCAACCCACATAACGTAACTTCCCGATTTGGACAGATTCTTCCGCTTCGCTCCGCTCTGCTCCGCTTCGTTCCAGCGTCTGTCTCTATATGATATATGAGCCATACCATAACAGAATCGGTCTTTAATTTGATAACCAGTTGCTTCAAAGATTATGAGACAATCATTATCAACAACAACTTGGGAGATAGAAATTAGGTTGTGATATAATTGAGGTGAATGGAATTGTTTAGAGAGTATAAGCTTACGAGATGATGTTGGTAAGAGACCATGGCCAGAATGATGAATGGGAAGTGTCTCTCTGTTACTGACATGAATTTGATCTTGACCATGAGATGTTTTGGCTGCTTGAAGTTGATCAAGAGGTGCAGTCATGTGACATGTGGCGCCGATGTGTTGATACCAATCGGGATTGTTGGAAGATGTGAGAAGAGTAGTTGTTGGCGGAGCCTTAGTTGGCTGATATTTGATATTGAGTCTATGTCTGCACTTTGAAGCTCTCTGTCCAGGTTTGTTGCAGGTTTGACAATATTGTGTTGGTTCCTTTGTTTTGCTTGGGGTTTGTGCATTTGATTACGGTGCAACACCTTTGTATCCCGGATTGGCAGTGTTGCTCCGGCCTTTGGAGGAATTATATTTACTCCTGAAATTATGTATGTAGAGAGCTAGATGAGAATCGGTTGTGGGAATGGCTGAGTTGTCATTAGCTATGTTGATATCTTCACTAAGGAGAAGAGAGTAGAGATCCCTAGGGCAATTGGATTTAATTGTGTTCGAATGTATGTTTTAAATGGTTGATAGGATGTAGGGAGACTTTGAGAGTGTATAAAATGATGTCCTCGGTGTCAATTGGGGCACCGACTGCTGAAATGTTGTTGACCAGTGTCTGGATATGGGTGAAGTATTGTGCCATTGTGGGGTTTCTCATGGAGACATTATGAAACTCATTTTTCAGCTAGATTACCTTAGATCGATAGCTTGCAGCCATTTTTCAAGAATATGCCAAATTTTGGAGCAGCTATCAAGGATGAGCACATATGGGAGAATAGTGGTAGAAATAGTGGAGGAGATGGCAGCCGCGAGGTGTTAATTCCCTAGCATCCAAAGGGTCACTTCGGGTTGGGTGGGGATATATCGGATGTGTTGGTGATGGTAGGGGGTGGTTGCTAGGTAGATCCATCGAGGAAGCTGAGAAAGCCATTTGTCTTAACGATTTTTGAGAAATTGGGATCTCCAAATCGGGTAGTTGTCAGCGGAGAGGGAGATGGTCACTACGGCTTTGATTATGGTCCCTAGGAATTTCAGCGATTGGGGGATTGCCGCACCTGTGAGCCAGATGGAAGTCTTCTTGGAGCTGGGAGGTGGCAGAATCGTCAATTGCAATGTTGCTGAAGCTCTGATACCATGTAAGAAAACCAGCAGCAGCAGAAAGGAAGGCGTGCGCAAGCAGAGGTGAAGAAAAGGGATACCGTGACCTCAATTCATTTGCTTTCATATGATGCTGACAGCAGCATCTCATATACACTAACAGTGAAAATATAGAAGTAAAAGTAAAGTCTAGAATTTATGTGTGTGACTGAGATGAAATGAGATGGTTAAGATTGTTTGGTGAGGGTGATTCAGAATAAAATGGTGTGGTATGTTGTGCTGCAGGTATGTTGTTATCATTATTGACTGTGCTCATTTGCTTAAGCATAACAACAGTGGTTGCGTGTGTGTGATTTTTTGTCTTGGATTGAATAGAGGATCAATTTATTTATCCTGTTAAAGATATAATCTTTGTTTCTCAGGTTTTGTTACAGAAATTATTATCTTTTGCAGGAATTTTCTGGAAGGGTCATTAGAGTTGAACTAGCAAATAGCTTTAAAAAACTCTACTCTGCTCTAGCCCCTACTATTACTCCCAAGAGTGAGGCAAGAAACTGGATCTATGTATCAAATCTTGCTTGGAATGTAAGGTCAGGTAATCTTAGGGAGTTCTTCGCAGCCAAATTCAAGCCTGTGTCTGCTAGAGTGGTTTTCAATGGCCCGTCAGGGGGGTCTGCTGGATATGGGTTCGTTTCTTTTGCCACTAATGAAGAAGCAGTGACAGCTATTTCTGAATTGGATGAGAAGGTAACCTCAAGATTCTGTTGTTATCACATCCCTAAGTTATGTATAAATATTTCATTTTAGTTCGGATTATTTACATACATACTCTGCAATTCTTGTGTATATACATATCTAACATCTAAACTTCACTGCTGCATATATGCCAACTTTCATGTGCCTGAAAAAGTGTATTTCACTTTTTAAGTGTTAAAATAGTGGTATTTTTTAGTGATATAAAAGATTTTGGTGGTATAAATGTAAAAAGTATAGTTTGTCTTAGATATGTAAATACATAATATTGGGAGGGAGGCATGTAAATGCCCATTTTAGCTATACAACAACAACAACAACAAAGCCTTAATGCCCATTTTAGCTATGCTACATTGAAATTGTTGGCAGGCCTGGAACATTGTTTAGGTTGCCTACACTCTAATCTAGAGGGCGCTAATTCGAATACTAAAACAATCATGCACAGCTTAGCTTAATAATGGCTAACAGAGCTTAAATATCAGTTCTTTTACCGATTTCAACTAATCAACCCAATATGACTGCTTCAGGAACTCATGCGAAGGCCTCTTAGGCTGAAAATTAGTCAAAAGGATAGAGCTGATGAACCTAACACCAGTCCAGAAGGCTAAATCAGACGTCAATCTTTAAGTTTTAGATAGCCAAATGGCAACATCGCCCCTTGCTAGACGAAAGTGGAGTTTTGGTTTGAGCTTGCAGCGAACAATTCTAATGCTTACAGAAAGCTGAAATGGAGAAGAAATTTTTACTTGTTATCAGTTGAATTTTCTGCAGCATATTTCTACTGGTATCACTATCAAAAGCCTGCCTTTTCATGAACTTCGTTTTTTTTTAATTATAAAGATAACTAGTTTTCTTATGTTTCAAAAGCTAAGCAGAAATTGTGGCTGTAAATGTATCCATTTCCTTCTTTACGACCTAATAGCCATTAATGAGAATATACCCTGCCCAACTATATCAAAAAAACAGAATGCTACATATTCTCTTAGAAAAATTTTCATCAAAGCAGCACTTACAGATAGCACCTACATTACTAGTGAGAGAAGATAACTGTGGCCAATGTGAGAGTAAACTTAAATCCATTTCTCATCATCACCTGCCATACATCATTGATATCTATATATGATATTTGTTAAGAAAGAAATTAGAACAACCTAGGTTGTTAGTATGACATGGATATGATTGCTATTAGTAGGATAATTGGATGGCTAGGATTTGACCCGTTCAACTAGCAGGAAAAAGGTTGAGTGACCATGTATTGTAGCTCACCTTCCTGATGAGAACATTTATCATGGCCCTCGATTGAGAAGTCGTTGAAATTCTCATTTTTTTTCGAAGTGTATGAAAGAGGGTAATAGCTGTGAGATTTTGTTAATATAGCTGCTAAGTGACCTTATGTTTTGATACGATGAACAATAATATAATTGGAATCACTGACAAAGTTGATATATAGGCATCGCTCAAATTACTATTATCTAACCGTTATAGACTATTCTAACGACCTTTATGGAAACGTTGCTTGTAATGTAAATAATAGCATATAAAAATCTTTCCCTTTTACCATTAAAGTGAAATTAACAAGCTTTAGGTTGGAGAGGACAATGAATAGTAGTGACGAGATTTAGGACAGGTTGAATATTTCTTTCGGAAGAACTTGGTACTGAAGAAAGATTAGATTAATGCAACCAACATAGAAGTCACTTATTAGAATTTTTGTTATGCCCGAAACCCAAAAGGAAATCAAATTTACTGGGTTTAGACTGTAGAGGAAGATTTAGCTACAGCTGTTCTTACTCTTAATTAGCTTAAAGAGAATGTTTTGTATCTAATTCT